TTAGGCGAAGTATAAAATCCAGGGCTGTACAGCATCTTAAAGTGGTCCTTTAACATTGCATCCAGCCTGGCTTTGAAGTTGTCTATCCTCCAGATATAGCTGCCCATACAGTAGCGCAGCATCATGTCGCTGTTCTGCTTCATCTTGGCCACGGCGAAAGCAGACAGTTGCTTTGATATATTCGCTATGACAATGTCCTGCTCTCTGTTCCTCTGCTCGAGTACCACTACCCGCTCATACAGAGCTCTGGAAATGTGTATTATATAATATTTTTGTTAAGCAGTGACTAAATATAAAACACATTCTACAAGAATAATACTAGGTGGTTGAAATTCTTTACTACCTATGGGTCTATCTCAGGGTTTCCCAACCTTTTTTTGACCAGGGGCCACTGAGTATTTTTTGTAGTTAGCACGGACCATAAGGTGAAATAAAAAATTTTGTTAATCTAACAATAAATAATAATCAAAACTTTTAACATAATTATATAATAAACTGGAAAGAAGCATTCATTAACAGTATTATTAATATATTTATTGGGAGGAATTGAGTCCTGTTGTATCCACTGTTTTTTTTGGCATCACTCTTGATGCAATGCTTCAGTGGGGCCCCCATATATCCAAATTAGCAAGCACACTAAGTTCTGCAGCCTATGCTGTAAAAAAGATTAGATGTCTCACAAATGTCGAGACAGCTAGAATTTTTCTAGATTAGTTTATTTTAGTTATTTCCATAGCATAATGTCTTATGGGATTTTGCTATGGGGAAATGCAGCTGATTCAGAAACTATTTTTGTTTTATAGAAGAAAGCCATTAGAGCTATTTACAATCTAAAACCGAGAGAGTCTCTTAGAGATAAATTTAAAGAAATAAATATATTAACTTTGGCCTCTCAGTATATTTACGAAAATTTAATGTATGTTCACAAAAACAAAGATAGTTTTAGTAAAAAAAAAGTGATATTCTGTAAACACTAGGAACAAACACAAGCTAGTGATGCCAGTTTCTCGACTCCACAGAGTCAGTAATTCATTCTTGGGGCAATGTATACGCTATTACAACAAGGTCCCGGAAAGTGTACAGGTTCTCTCTATTACCAAGTTTAAATGTTTTATTAAACTGAAACTGTATAAAAAGGGTTATTATAGTATAAATGAATACATGGTTGATAATAACCCCTGGGAATGAGGTGGTTGCTTCCAAGCATTTTCTAAAATAAATTTTGTAAATAGTTTGTAATAATTTATATTGTAAAATTTATTTAAAAAAAAAGTCCCGCTGGGTTTCTTGCTGGTTCTTCCCAGGACAGAGGGTTTTTTTTTCGAACCAGTGGTAAAGTAAAAAATGACTCAATAAGAATTACACATGTAATGTATATTGAATAAAAAATTATTCTACTCTATTGTAAAAGCTAGTAGGTACTTACTAACGTGACAGGCGGTGTTCCACAGTCCGCGTGACGAGAAATAACAAATAATAGATGTGTTGATTTTTTATATTTACCCGAACACTTCATATTTAATACAAACTAGTTTTACGGATTTTATCGCGTATATTAACTTATTTTATATTCCCAACGTTTCGAATAATTTACAGCACCCATGGTCACGGGGGGGACTGAGGTGTATATTTCAAACGTCAAATAGCTGTGCCTATACTACTGTGTTTCGTTCTGACAGGTATAGAAAGTCAATATAATTAACAGGCAGCTTAATACTGCACTGTTACATATGGCGAGTGTAGAGAACTGGACACCCTTTTTACAGGAAACGTGGCATTCGTCCTCTGAGGTGTCTAAGTCCTCAAGGGTGACAATGCATCTGCATTTTGATTTTTTTATTGAGCATAGATGTAGCTGTCTATTGGCAACAGGATCGACATACCATCAAGTGGACTGTGTGCTCGTTTTTCACCCTTATTCTATAAACAAATTACCTTATAAGAGCGCTTGTATTGGTAAGTGGAGCTGAAGTACTTTGAGCACCATCCTTGTCAGGTGCCTCCCAAAGATTCATAGCCTCCTGCTCCTTGGCGTCAATGCTTGCGTTTGATATATCATTATTGATTTTTATCTCTGAATATGCATTCATGAGAAACTGAAATAAAATAATTATTTAGTTTTTACATATGGGTATTTCTAGTAATTCTACCTATTTATTCCTTGTAGAAATGAATTGAATTCTGCACATTCGAATTCAATTCATTTCTGAATAATTAATTTCTGACATTAACTATTATTAACCGACTTTAAAAAGCAGGAGGCGATATCTTCGCAAAATTGTAAACCAATTTTGACGATTCTTTTTTTTTTATTATATAGGTTATACTTCAAGGGCGATCCCATATAAATTTGGAGAAAAACTTTTTTAGCAATTTGAATTAGGTTTTTACTTTTTGTTAAGTTATTCTATTATTTATATCTTTAGAGTTAATAGTTCACCTGATGGTAAGTGGCTACTGCTGCTCATGGTACTTGCAACCAAGGAATATAAAAAAGAACGAAAGATGCAGACGTGTCATTATGTCTAAGGAAGACCGCTTAACATGTAATGCAATTTTTTTTTATAGGATAAGGGTGACAAACGAGCACACAGTCCACCTGATGGTAAGTGGTTGCTGCGGCCCATAGACATCTACATCTACAAAATGTAGATGCGTTGTCACCCGTGAGGACTAAGATGGAATGCCTCTGTTCGCGCCAAACGCTGTTGTCGGAATCGACGTCTAGGGGGCGCGCGGCTCTGGGCGATACCGGTTTGAAGTTCGGCCGAGCGTGGCAAGAGCGCGCGGGTCGCGAGCGAAAAAGGAGTCGTCTGCTAGCTGTGCTAATGTCTGCACGCTGTCAATTTTTGTTAGGGAACTCGGAATAATTAGGCGCGGCCCGTAAATATACGGTCTAGGATTTTGTGACGCGCATTCCTGCTGGAGAGCTTCCCAGGGACTCATTGTGTCCGACTCAGAATCTGCATAAGTGCATTCGGCAATATTAGCTAGTGCGGCCGTTGATATTCTAGAACTAACTGTTGTTACGCGAAACGGTAGTGACCTTTGATCCGTAAACTCCGTGTGCGTTTTGTGCGTTAACCTTATACCCAGCGATAGTTAGTGGCTTCTGTAAGTTAGTTAATCGTGAAGAACGAGGAAAGTGACTGTGGACAACGCCTCGGAAGGCCCCCTCAAGTTGGAGCGGTGTCGACGCTCGGGCTGCTGCCGACGGCCAAGGTCTAGGTTCAATCACCATCAGTCACACCCAGATACACATCACATCACCTTATTTCCCTTGCACTACACAAACACATACGACCAGACCGACTCCGGAGGGACCAGGCGCCTTGGATATAGGTAAGTAAGCTCCGGCTAATTCCTCCCAGTCGACTGGCCGTAGTATAGAACGCTCCCCCATATATTTTAGTGTAATTAGAGAAATTCCACGTGGCCACATTGAGGCCCGACCTACGTCTGCTCGGGAAGTCTTCTGCTCATGGGCCCCGGAGGATTTGAACCTCCAAGGGAGCAGCCGTAGGGCGTAACAAACTGGTAGCAGAGCGTGGTTCCGGGTTCGATTCCCCGGTCGATCCCGACCATAGTGTTTGATAAAAATTAAACAATTCTGGTGGCAGGGAGCGTTGGTTTGATTGGTTTAATTTGTGTCTACAATCACGCCCGTCCGTAATACGTAAAAATATTTTTTTTGTACGTAATAATAAAATTATTTCCCTTTGTTGCTTTGTTGCTTGCCTTTTTTTTTTTGGTTAGTGGGTAGTTTGAAAAGCCGCGCCCTAGGTTGCGCAAGCGGGAGTTTTTCTAGAGACATACGTCATGTAGGTAGATGGTTATTTTTACGTAATCGGTTAATTATCGTTGTCGGATAGTTGTAGTGGATTATTTATCAAAGGGTCGGTTTCCGAGCTAGGCAGTTTTTGTTGATCGACCGTGATGTGTATCTTCGTTTGTATTGTAATTTGTATTTGAACTAAAGAGTAGTAATTGTATTTGTGCAATTTGAATTTAACTTGATTTGATCGCAATAGTATTTGTTATTTGTTAATTTTATTTGTGTCTTTTCTTTTGTGCTAACTTGTATTTGGTTGATACGTAGTAATTCGTATTTGTTTAATTTCTATTCAACGCGAATTGATAGCAACTGCATTTATTAACTGTTAATTTTTTGTTGTATTTATTTGTTATCTTTGTAATTTGTTCTCGAGCCACGTCGTAATTTGTATTTAGTAGTGATGTCATCGCCCAAGCTACTAATTCGATGCCTGCGGACTAAGCTACGCTGGGCCACCAGCGCCCATGCTTTGTTAGGTCGACCGGAGAGAGTCCATAACTTGATGAAGCGGTTCGAGCAGGTGGATGCTAGAAGGGCCGCAGTGGAGGAGGCTTACGCTGAGCTCGAGGATTCGGATGTGGAGAAGGGAGTCCTGGACTCCTGCTTCGCGGACTATGAGCAGTTCTTTTCGCTCACGGACGAGTTGATCGAGGCTGAAGGCAGGTATGCCGAGGAGGCACGTGAAGCTCGGATGAGTGGCCTGCCCGAGTCCTCTCGGAAGCAGCTTCAGCCGGAGCTGTTGGGACGACTCCCAACTCTGGACCTGCCAAAGTTCTCCGGGGTCCTTTCCGAATGGCTGACCTTCGTTGGTCTTTTCGACAGCCTAGTGGACGCCCGGAGTGACTTGACCCCGAGCCAAAAGATGGCGTACCTCCTGGCCTCACTGGAGGGGGAGGCCCTGGGCGTCGTCGGCCACTTGACATTGTCAGACGACGCCTACCAGACTGCTCGGGACCTCCTAGCCAGAAGATACGCCAACGTGCGGCGAATTGCGGACGAACATGTGAAGCAGCTTCTAAGCCTCTCGCTGCTTAGTGACCGGGCCAGACTGCGTCCGGACCTGTTGGATCCAGTCTTGGTGACCTGTAATACGTTGAGGCGGCTGGATTTACCAGTGGGCGAATGGGCTTTTTTGTTGCTCCGCATCGTGCTGTCCCGTCTACCTCTCGACCTTCAAATTTATTTTGAGGAGAGGTACGGCGGGGACGAGGCCTCCTATATTCCGCCCTTCTATGACCTGCTGCGGTTTTTGGAGGAGCAGTGCCGGCAGATCGAGAACGCGACGGGCGCCGTTGACGACTTACGAGCCGTGCCCAGTGAGAGGCTGAATCCGCCATGCAAGTCGTCGTCAACCCCCCGCTGCTCCTATTGTCGAGCATCTGATCACCGGGTAACGTCGTGCCCGAAATTATTAGGTAAGCCGGTTCCGGCGAGGCGAACTATCGCCAAGGAGCGCCGCTGGTGCTGCTCATGTTTGGAAGGGCACCTCCAGCGAGACTGTCCGCATCGGCGGCCCTGTCTGCATTGTCAGGGCAATCACCATGCAGTTTTGTGCCTGGGTGCGAACGGCGCCTCCTCTCGGGGCTCTGCCAGGCCCTCGACCCCCACGGGCGGGGGCGCTCAGCCACGCCCTCTGCCGGGCGACTCTCGGCGCCCGCCGGCCAGCCACCAGGCCCCTAAGTTTGAAAGGGGTCCCTCCCCCGACCAGTCGGGGGGTAATTCCCCCAGGGGCGGGGGTGTCATCACCACCCTTCAGCGTGTGGAGAGGAACTTCACGGCCACTCATCGGTCCGCTGGACCCTTCTCACTCCCGTTAGCTGAGTGGCCGCGACTGGTGTACCACTGTTCCCCATTTGATGGAGGCGGCCCTGGCTAGCTGCCGCCTTAGCTCCCACCACGGCCGCCTCCACTGAGCCTTAAGCCGTCAACAGTCCACTTGTCAAGGTGTTCTGTTGCCGACGTCCTCAGTGAAGGCGTACAACCTGAGTGGCGACTGTTAGCGGTTGCGCTCTATTGGTCTCGGGTTCACGCCGTGTGGCCTCCACTTGGTGGTGGGAAGATTAGGGCCCCCCTGGAGCGTTGAATCACGCAGTCAAGGGGTATTAGATTGGTTTGGTCGAGCACTTAGTTAAAAATTCTTTGAATTAAAATTAAAGAATGCTTTGGGCTTTCCGCAAAATTTTCCTATTTGTAGCGGTTGTGATTAAAAGAATTGAATTTAATCTACTCCTTTAAATGCTACTGCATGTGTTTTGTAAATATATTTAATCATTGTGTTTGATTGTTGCGCCTGGTTGCTGAAAAGAAAGTTTGAATTCATTTGAATTGAACGTCGCGCTATTTTGAAAAATTATGTATATGTTTTATGATAGTGTTTAATCGTTTTGCTTTGTGAAGAAGTAGGGCTGTCCCTTACGTTATTGTTTTGTTTAATTTGTCAAGTTGACCTATGTGCATCGGTGATTAATTTGGTTGAATTGATTCTGTAGTTGAACATTGATGCTTTGAAAAGTTAGTTGAAATATGAGCATACTGCTTGTCTAACAGGCTAGCTAGTTTTGGAGATTATCAGATTGAAATCAGCTGCCGCACTATTTTAGTAAATGGTAATATGGTGGGTGGCCTGGCTAGGCCTACTTGTTGAAAATCCATACTAGGGACTATCTGTGCGTTTCGTTCGGCTCTCCACAGACGACGTTCATGTAGAATTTGTGGGTGCTCTCTGCACTGAAGCTTAGGAGGCCGCTCTGGGCCGCTTCGTGTCGCGTCGCTGTTTGCAGACCCGATCCGGTCGGATTGCGGAACTAATCATAGGGCACAGATAGGTGTTTGAAAGAGGTCGTCGGACTTCTGTCCAGAAAAGGACTTATTTATGGGCTGCGATGTCCAGGAAGGGCATCCAGTTCAACCCTCCGGCTTGCCCACGTTGGTGCGGTAATTTTGAGGCGTTGGTTAGGGTTGCAAGATCTGATGGGTTGCCTAAGGTGGCCTAGTTTGGTTGTAGATTCGGTCTTGCAACTTGCAGTCTCGACCTTGTCCCGCTGACCGGTTTGCACGCGGACCTAAATCCTTATGTCCGGGACGGGGGTTTGTTCGCGCCAAACGCTGTTGTCCGAATCGACGTCTAGGGGGTGCGCGGCTCTGGGCGATACCGGTTTGAAGTTCGGCCGAGCGTGGCAAGAGCGCGCGGGTCGCGAGCGAAAAAGGAGTCGTCTGCTAGCTGTGCTAATGTCTGCACGCTGTCAATTTTTGTTAGGGAACTCGGAATAATTAGGCGCGGCCCGTAAATATACGGTCTAGGATTTTGTGACACGTATTCCTGCTGGAAAGCTTCCCAGGGACTCATTGTGTCCTACTAAGAATCTGCATAAGTGCATTCGGCAATATTAGCTAGTGCGGCCGTTGATATTCTAGAACTAACTGTTGCTACGCGAAACGGTAGTGACCTTTGATCCGTAAACTCCGTGTGCGTTTTGTGCGCTAACCTTATACCCAGCGATAGTTAGTGGCTTCTGTAAGTTAGTTAATCGTGACGAACAAGGAAAGTGACTGTGGACAACGCCTCGGAAGGCCCCTTCAAGTTGGAGCGGTGTCGACGCTCGGGCTGCTGCTGACGGCCAAGGTCTAGGTTCAATCACCATCACACCCAGATACACATCACATCACCTTATTTCCCTTGCACTACACAAACACATACGACCAGACCGACTCCGGAGGGACCAGGCGCCTTGGATATAGGTAAGTAAGCTCCGGCTAATTCCTCCCGGTCGACTGGCCGTGGTATAGAACGCTCCCCCATATATTTTAGTGTAATTAGAGAAATTCCACGTGGCCACATTGAGGCCCGACCTACGTCTGCTCGGGAAGTCTTCTGCTCATGGGCCCCGGAGGATTTGATCCTTCAAGGGAGCAGCCGTAGGCCGTAACAGCCTCATTTCCAGTAAAAAGGGCCTTCGGCCACCTGCACTCACCAAGCGAAACGCAGAGGTAAACCTCTACTTCACGCTGGTTTTCTGTGAGGTCGTGGTACCACCCCGGTTCGACCCGGCCCATCCGTGCGACAGCAAAAGCTGCCGCGTGGCTCTACCACTGTTGAAAAATTATAATTATATTGAAGCTCTATAGCCTTCAGTAAATGTACTGCTGACTGGTGGCAGAAATAGGTGAGAGGATAGTACCTTCCTAGATGACATCCCAGATAAAAAACAGACCTATCATCTAGGAAAATATATCAATATTAAGATAAAACAGAATTTAAAAACAAAATAAAAACATTATACTTACGCTCATATGATTCTGTATATCTTTATGAAGATGATTGTTCATCTCTTCCTGACTTTCAAAGGTTTCTTTACAACCTACAGCCTGGAATGAGCATGGCACTCTTATTTCAGATTGAGAGGAAACTTCGGGCTGGTTGTACTCACAGCTAGCTATATGTGCATCAAGGTCTAATGGAGTTACTTTAATGTTACAGCCTGGAATTTTAGAATTAAAATGATGATTAATTTTGGTGAAGTGTTACTAAACAGTCACCATCAGCAATGATGACGATAGCCCCTTTCTTAAGTTTTTTTTAATGGAATTAGGGTGGCAACAAGCACACGGTCCACCAGATGGTAAGTGGATGGGCCCATAAACATCTACATCTATTCTCAATTAAGAATTAAAATGCAGATGCGTTGCCACCCCTGAGGACTAAGATGGAATGCCTCGTTTCCAGTAAAAGAGGTCTCCAGTTCTTTACATTCACCATACGAAATACAGATCAATTTCATCAAGCTGCTAAGGTCACTGTCAAAAGGTATTTGGTACAAGACGATACAACCGCATCTTTCCCACTTCCTTTGGTTTGAAGGATGCAATATGGGAAGGCAAGAAATTATTACGTTCTTCTTACGTCTTCGTTCTGGACATATTCCATTAAACAAATTTGCGTTTATGATGAGAAAAGTGAATTAACCATATTGTGTCATATGTGGAGTTCTGGAAGATACTATTCATATTATGATGGAATGTCATCGGACCAAATCATATAGAAATCTATTAGGGCTTAACAAAAATAGTGTTGGATTGTATAATAGTATCTTAGCTTTTCCATTGTCGGATAAGGCTAGAAAACTTTATAAACTAGTATTGTTAGGTATTAAGAACAGATAAATTTTTATTATTGTTTACGTGAATTTATCATTGTCTAATTATGTGTATTTGATTGTGTACCTATGAGGGTAACATGATCTAGTGGATCAAACCCTCTATAATAAATAAAGATAAAAAATAAAAAATCAAGCTGCTATTTTATGCTTTATTATTATATTATATATTTATATAATATAATAATAAAGCATAAAATATATATATATATAGAGATCTCTTCACGGTAAATGTTGATCAGACGCGACTTCACGCGAGCACTTTGTTGATCCGAAAATGTATGTTGATCCGACGCCTTTTCTTGATCCAATATGCATCTCTGGTAACTAATGTTGCTCCGACAGGATCAACATCTACACTCACGGGACTACTTACTAGCGTTCCCCGAAGTTGATCTGATATACAAATCCACCTTGCGATAGTTACGCAAAATGTTGATCCGATTTAAATGAGCCAATCAGAGCACATCAAACGATCGGATTGGCTGAAAAAATCCGCGACGTTGCCGTTTCGTTTCTTTGGCGGTGGCAGCAACGATATTGTCTAAGGTGGACTTGAAAAACAAAAACACTGCTTCACTATATCAAAATAATAATCACAAACAAAACTAAAATATCTATTTAAATAAAACTAATTTTACGGATTTTATCGCGTATATTAACTTATTTTACTTTCCCGACGTTTCAAGCACTTTACAGCACCCATGGTCACGGGGGGACTGAGGTGTATGACGTCCCAATGTCATAGTTAACCACGGCTACCTCCAGATTAAAAATTATTAATTTTTGTTCCGATCTACGCAGTATGAACTTACAGTATCATGAAGTCTTGCAGTTGTATGCTTGGGTTGGGATTTAATTTTATTAATTATGGGATCCCAAGCAGATGGTAGCATCCAGCCATCTTCTCTATTGAAATTAGGATGTTTTTTGATTTCAATAGCCTCGCGAATCATCCTTGGAAGGAATCGGTGTTCTTTAGCGAGGATTTGTGGTCTATCAAATCTAATGTAGTGACGGGGGCGATCCTGTACGTGTTCACAGACTGCAGACTTCCCGGAGCCTCTATTCTTCACATCAGCTATGTGTTCTTTAACGCGGGTTTTTATGGATCTTTTAGTTTGTCCTATATAAGAGAGACCACATTCACAATCCAGCTTGTACACTCCTGCATCTTGCAGAGGAATATTACACTTGACTGATGGTAAAAACTGACTAATCTTCTTCGGCGGCTTGAAATATGTTTTAATGGAAGCACGCTTCAAGATGTAGCCAATCTTGTCAGTGACACCTCTGACATATGGCAGTACAGCAGGCACTCGCTCGACTGTGGCCGGCTTCACTCGTCCACTGTGACGTAGGCGCGGGACCCGAAGCTTATTGTCGTGCAAAACTTGCTTGACGTGTTGGAGCTCGGCGGCCAGGTGTTTACTGTCACAGATCCCTCGTGCTCTCTGAAACAAAGATTTACCCACGGTAGCTAACTGTGAAGGATGGTGGTGAGAATCACCGTTTAAATATCTATCTGTATGGGTCTTTTTTCTATACACTGTGTGGCTCAAGGTGTTATCAGGATTCCGAATTACTAACACATCTAGAAAAGCTAAAGAATTGTTTGCCTCTAACTCCATTGTGAACTGAATTTTAGAATTTAAGGAGTTAAGATGGTTTAAAAATGCAGTTACTTTATCTAAAGGTAGAATTGTTAAATGAATTGTTAATATCTATCAAAGAAACATAGAGTAATCAATAACATTGCAACCTGACTTACTTATTAGTCGCTAGTCACTAGAATTAAGGATGCATTTGCAAAATTGATAGTTATAGAATCGTACTATTATATAATTTATTATAATAATTTTATATAATAATTTTACAAGTCCAAGAACATCTAGTTCGACATTTCCTTGGACCTGCAGCATCAACCACAGAAAGTAATCTTCCTCAAAGATTTTCAATCTCCTGTAGCTTTCCAAGATCTTCAATTGCTTCTTCAAGCAATTCTGGACATTCTCTGGAAGAAATACCACGAAAGGCCGACAATAAACTCGTACGAAATAGATACACTGCTATGTCAAATTGAAAAATGAAGGATTATTGGCTAGAAACGCTAAGCAAGTACACACTGAGTGCAAAAGGTGTGAAAAGGCATTCAGTTTAGAATGTTATAATGAGAAACATGCTTGATTTTATAATATTTTCTTTGAATAAAATCCTCACCTTCAGTATTTGAGTTTTATTTATAGCAAGTTTATTGTAGTTATTAAATGACAACTTTAAAAAAAATTGCGAAGTTTTCTTTTATTATTATAAACAATAGGTTTTTTACTATACGTCCACGTATGATTTTAAACAATATCACGTCACGTTCATACCAACAAATGTGCCTTAAGTTGTATTGAGAAATGAGTCACCTGTGACTCATGAACTTATTCTAATACGTTCCTGTGAGTCATATATGACTCATTGGAGAGGGAAGTTGAGTTTTCCCCGGGTGTTCATGCAGCGATCACTCAAGAGTTCACGACGCCGACACATGAACTTGAACAGTCATCGCATTTTATGTCCGTACTAGCTGTTGCCAGCGGCTTCGAACGCATGTAACTCCAAAATTATGCAACAGAAACGAAATACCTGAATAAACGGTATCATATGTGTTATATAAACCTATCTCTGAGCAAAATATCATCCAGATCCCTTCAACCGTTCTGGCGTGATTGAGTAACGTACATCTATTCATCCATCCATCCAAATATCCAAACTTTCGCATTTATAATGTTTAGATAATAATTATAATTAATTCAGCCTATCTATAAATTGTTTTCTAAAATACTTACTAACCTGTGTTCTTACTTTTTTTATGTACAAAATCTAACGTAATTAACGCGCATCCTCAGACACCCCAATTAGTATATTATGTTATAATCATAATACATTATTTTTAATTATTATTATATTCTTACTAAAACATGTTTATGCATTGATTATTTATTAAATTAGTTATACTAATTCCGGAAGAATGTTGTGGTCACCGTACAAAACCACGAACGCTAGGTGTAGGTAGTTGCTAGTTTTTTTTTGAATTTGCATAACATTTTAATTGTATTTGTAAATAATAATGAACTGCTAAAACTAACATAATTCAAAGACGGCGTGTTTAAAAGATGTGAATCAAGATTACAATAATTTTAAGAATCAAATATTTAACTTACTGATAGCCTAAACTCTCATGCAACGTTTTATTTAAACCACAACGGCTCCGTGGCGCAGTGGCTTAGCAATTGAGTTGCAGCGCTAAGGACCGCGGGCTCGAATCCCGCACGGAACAATATTTGTATGGCCTACAAATAATTGTTCCGGGTCTGGATGTTTGACCTTGTGCAATTTATGTTTGTACACTGCCCCCACAATACAAGAGAAAATCCTAGTGTGGAGGTTACGTTTTAAAAAAGAAAGAAAATAATTTAGAAAGCAATTCAGTGTCATTTTTCACTATTCTAAAATCGTCACAAAAAGGTCCTCGGCACTTGTTGGCTCACTAAAGTAAACTAATGATTTAATACATCCCCATAAAAAAGTCAAGAGGCGTCAAATCAGCTGATCTGGGAGGTCAGTGGTCTGGCCGCCGCGACCTTTATAAGGCACTCCAAACTCTGTATTTGTGAAGACTTTAACATACTTGAAATAAGGTTCAATTTTCTTTATTTTGTATTGAATGACGGAATTTGTATTAATACAAGTAAAACTCACTTTTAAAAGTCTTATTGCCTTGAGCTACGGCGGTCCATTTCAGTTTGTTTTGACTGTACAGGTTTAGGCGTGACTGTAAATTACGTAGTTTCAATTATTTTTGGGATAAAAAAATTACCTATATTAAAAATGATAGAAACCGATTCAGTAAACGATTCTGAACAAACTACTTTCACAAAGTGCGTTAATTATGTTACGTGTTGTCAGAATGTGTCAAAGAAGGTACGTATGGCAATTCATAGTGCTGTGTTAGTCCCTACTTTAATGTATGGTAGTGAAAGTTGGGTCTGGCAGAAGAAGCATGAGAATAGAATAAATGCTGTAGAAATGCGGTCATTAAGGAGTATGCTAGGGCTGAATCTGAATGACAGGGTGAGAAATAGTATGATAAGAGAAAAGTGTGGTTTGCAAGATGACGTTGTGACCAAGATTAAAGAAGGAATGCTTCGGTGGTTTGGCCATGTAGAAAGAATGAACGAGGAAAGAGTGACAAAGTAAATTTATGTTTCAGAAGTGAACGGCAGAGTCGGGAAGGGACGCCCTAGACGAAGATTTATTGACCAAATCGGCGATAC